CCTCACCAGCCTGGTCAAGTCCTTTCTGTCCTGTGCAGTGCAGCTCCCATACCACACTGTTGCACTGAGACAGAGGATGCTCTCTACTGTTGCTCTGTAGAAGTTTGTGAGCAACTGAGAGACCAGTGCTTTTCAGCTTCCTGAGGAAGAAAAGCTTTTGCTGGGCTTTCTTCACCAGGTAGGATGTGTTCAGAGACCAGGTCAGATGTGATGTGGATGCCCATGAACTTGATGTTGTCCGCTTGCTCCACCACCTCCCCATGTATGAGAAGAGGAGCATACATTGTCTTCCTGGATCTCCTATAATCCATAATGACCTCCTTTGGTGTTCAGGACAAGATTGTTATCTGAAAACCACCTTGTCAGGTGCTGGATCTCCTCTCTGTAGTGAGTCTCATCATTGTCTGAGATGAGACCCACTATGGTGGTGTCATCCGCAAACTTCACTATTGTGTTTGTGGGGTGAATGGCATCACAGTCATGGGTAAACAGAGTGAGGAGAACTGGGCTGAGCACACAGCCCTGTGGTTTGCCTGTGTTCAGGACCAGTGTGGATGATGTGCAGCTTCCGATTCTCACCACTTCAGGCCTGTTAGTGAGAAAGTCCTTAATCCAGTGACACATCATTGCAGGCATTCCCAGATTGGTACTGAAACTGCACAGTTTCTCTGGGTTTACAGTATTAAATGCCGAACTGAAGTCAGCAAATAGCATCCTGACATAAGTGTTAGGATGCTCCAGGTGGGACAGGGCTGTGTGTAATGCTATTGAGACAGCATTCTGTTGATCGGTTCTCTCTGTAGGCGAACTGATGGCTGTCCAGACCAACAGGGATGACGTCCTTGATGTGCTTTAGGACGATCCTCTCAAAGCACTTCATGATTACTGGTGTCCTGTTCCTCGAGCTGAGGGAGATGTACAGTTCCTCTGCTGCCAGGTGTATTGAAGCGTGCCAAGAAACTATTTAGTGTGAGGGAGGGTGGGATCATGGCTGACCTGCTGGTTGTTACCTCTGTAGTCTGTTGTTTTGATGCCTCTCCACATACTCTGTGTGTTATTCATGAAGTGCCCCTCAATGCACAGTTTGTACCTGCGTTTGGCCAGCCGGATGCCCTTCTTTAGTACTTTCCGGGCCCTGCTTTAGGCCAGCCTGTCGCCTGATCTGAAGGCAGTGTCCTGAGTTTTGAGCAGAGTTGACACTGTACTGTCCAACCATGGCTTCTGGTTTGGAAAAATCCTGATGGACTTTGTAGGTAGGACAGCATCAGTACAGAACTGCACATAGTCCAGTCCAGAACAGCTGATGTATAAGCCTCCAGGTCTGAGCCCTCTTTGAACACCCCCCAGTCAGTGTGCTCAAAACAGTCCTGTAATGCTGAAGAAGCCTCCTCAGTCCACACCTTAACTGTTTTGGTGATTGGTTTTGTCCTGCAGATCAGAGGTTTATATGCTGGGATCAGCTCCGCAGAGATGTGATCTGACATGCCCAGGTGTGGAGCTTCTATGGCCTTGTATGCTCCTGGGATGTTGCATTAAACTTGATCCAGGATATTATTGTCCCTGGTTGGAAAATTGATGAATCTGTCAAATCTTGGAAACACTGTTTTAAATTCCACATGGTTAAAGTCTCCAGCCACAATCACAGCCGCTTCAGGGTTTGCATTCATCTGCCTGCTGATCAGGCAGTACAGCTCCTCCAGCGCTAATTTAGCATTAGCTCGCGGTGGTATATAGATAGCTACAATCAGACTTTCAGGACTGAGCAAATCTCTGTCACCGTTTTAAAAGGTTTGCATTTCACTGCCAGATATTTCAAGTCAGGGGAGCAGTGTGTTCCAATGATACTCGTAGCTGTGCACCAGAAGTTGTAGATGTACAGCGCCAGATCTCCGCCTCTCTGTTTAGCAGATGCTGCGGTCCTGTCTGCTCAAAACAAGGAGCATCCCTCCAGCTCCACCGCAGCGTCTGAGATTTTGACATCCAACCAGGTTTCAGTTATAATCGCCACACAGCTGTCTATTCTCTGTGAGATGATCCGCAGCCAAATTTTGTCAATTTTGTTGGTTAAGTGGCCTGGCGTTTTTGAGGAAGAGACTAGGAAGTGCCAGCCTGTGTGGGTTAGCATGTAGCCTAGCGTGCAGGCCGCTTCTCTTACACTGCTTTTGTTTACGGTGTCGCCTCTGTCTCCTAGGCCACAAAGGGGGGGATGGTGAAAGCCGTAGTGGTCCGGTATAATGCTGGTGGAATAAAGTCCAGCTTCGTGGACTAACTATCTTATACTAGATTGGTAACAGTAAAGTCTGCCAATAGATGATTATACTGTATTTAACAGCTTGTGTCTTTACAAGTACTGCAACATAGGTCAATTCAGTCATTCCAGTTAGTCATTGTGTTATTTGCTTTTTTCCCACAGACCTCTACATGAATATAATGAAGAGGATCACTCTGCTGTACATGAGCAGCAATTAACTCTTCAGATAAAAGCCAGAATTCCTTGCTTCTCTGTACTGGTCCCTGCAGGTGTTGGGTGTGCCTCCTGTGACACTGGCAGCAGAGGTGTTGCCAGGTGGAAGACCAAGGCTGCACCTGCCAAGGCTGCACCTGCCTGCCTTCTCCATCTTCCTCCATACTTATCTGAACCACTTGATCTGCAGCTTCCACAGGCGGTCGGCTTAGGGGGATCCAGTCAAGGGCTTCAAGGGTGCGGCATCCAGACTTGGACATTGCAGAGAGTCACCAACAGGGCTCTGCCAGGTGGTGTTGGCTGGTTGAGAAGCAGAGCATGTTGAGTGGCTGTGGTTGCTATGGAGCCCCAGGATAAGAATCAGGTCAGTTTGGTTGCTTAGTTCAACATCTGCCTATGCTACCTAAATGTCCCTGAGGCAGAGAGTTGTTTACTGAACAGATAGGGCCCCTGGGATTTAAACAACATTGAGGAGAATGCTTAGCTAATGCTAAAAGGTCTCCTGGCAGAGGTTCATGTATTGCTTAAAGGCCCTCTGTACAGTTTTGGGCTTTTCTCCCCAGTCCACATGTCGAACTGTCCTTGAGCGTGACACTGAACCCCAGGTTGCTCCCAGTGGCCAGGCCAGCACCTTTCATGGCAGCTCTGCTGCCAGTGGTTTTTGGGAATGGGTGACTCATTGTCTGATAAGGTAGAAAAGCACTATAAAAGTGCAGTCCATTTACCATTTTTTCAATAATTTTTCAAGTAAAAAAGATGGATCATTCTTTGGTCCAGCTTCACAAATGACATGGTTTAGTGTTTCTTGTGACATATGTGACAGTAAATTGACTATGTTAAGGTTTTGGACTTTTATTTGCACAAAAAAAAATGTATCTCAGTGGGGGCTTGAGAAACTTTGGATGCCATTTTTTTGCATTTTTTTATGCTAATAGCCATGTCTGTATGTCTGTCCATCCCTCTGGCCCATTCCTGTGAACATACCTCGGGAACACCGTGAGGGGATTTCTTCAAATTTGGCACAAATTTTCAATAGGATTCAAGGATGAACTGATCAGATTTTGGTCATCAAAGGTCTCACATCTGTCCCATTCCCCTAAATCTGACTGGTTGGTGGAGGCATCCAACAGCAAAGTGGTAATTCTGGTAGTAAAAGTAGAGCTGGTTTAAAATACTGATCATCTGACTAATCACGATTTTATTTTTGACCAATCCAGTATCGATTCTTAAGTGATTCTCTTCAGTGAGTGACCTTTGGATCTGTGTCTTTTCTCAGTGTGTGGATTGTACTTTATTCAGTCTGTTGCTGCTGGGGAGCTAATGCTAGCTAACAGCTGTCTGGAGATATCAGGCTGATATCAACACAGACAGTGCAGATGAATCAGTTTCTGTCACGTCTATGCTCGAACTGATCACTGAAGTGGACATCTAGAATGAAGCACCTAATACTGCATGGAGCAGTTTGGGGTAGCATACTTGTAAAATTCTGCATTGTGCACTGTTGGTATTTATCTGATATAAATGAATCAACACATACGATACTTCATCGTATCAAATCTAAATTGACCAATTCTGGATCTGTGAATCAAACAAGGTCCCGGGATCGAGCCCAGGTCAACCTGGGGCCATTCTGGGCGGAGGTTGCATGTTCTCCCTTTGCCTGTGTGGGTTCTCTCCGGGTACTCCAGCTTCCTCCTACAGTCCAAAGACATCAGAATCAGAATCAGAATCTGCTTAATTGGCCAGGGGCCTATTTCAAGAAGGCGGTTTTGTCGAAACTCAGAGTTTGTTAACCCCGAAATGAGGGCAACTCGGAGTTTTCGGTTTCAGAAACGGAGGTAACTTAAACCCGTGAAGCGGGGTAAGTTAAACCCGTTTCACAAAGAGAGGTAATCTAAACTCAGAGTCAGTTACTACGGCAACTTACTCTGTGAACCTAACCTGGTCGGGAGCAGGTTTTATTCGGGAAACTCAGAGTTTCCTCCGGGTCTCCGCCCCTTTTTAAAGTGAAAGGTGTTTAATACCTCATTTAATCTTTCAGTACATTCATAGATTGCACACGTTTCCGTCACGCAGAGACCAAAATGGCGTGTCCATTCATAGAGGATCCTGTAGAGGAGGACGCTGTATTAATTCGCAGGGAATTGCATTTACGTCGGGAGAGGATATTGAGGCCACGAGTTGATTTTTTGTCATATCCCCATGTATTTTTATTTGAGCGGTACCGTTTTTCTAGAGAGTCCATAACATATATCAATAATCTTATCCACCCATACATCAGATACATCACCCATCGTGGTCTTACATCCGAGCAGATGCTTTGTGTTGCGTTACGATTTGTTGCAAATGGCAGTTTGCATCGGGGATGCAGAGCCCATTAGTAAGGCCACAGTATGTAGAATAGTTCGGAAAGTGTGCCTCGCCCTCAAGCGCTTTCTGTGAATTTTTGTTGTGTTTCCTGGGCACAAACCCCTCAGAGCCATTAAAGAGGAGTTTCACAGGATTGCAGGTTAGTGGTATTGAATTCGTTTCAGTAAGGCTAATCTGACAAATGATGATCAGTTAATAACATCTTGCTGTGACCTCTGGAAATAAACTAATAATTAGAATCCCCTTCAGGATTTCCAAATGTGGTTGGATGCATTGATGGCACACATATTCCCATCAATGCACCTACATGAAAATTAAAATTCAATTCTTATATTATTACATCAGTGTTGGGTCAATTTTTAAAAAAGTATTTTGATTAATGTAATACTTACTCTCCATAAAACGTACTGGATTATTTATTAATCATTACTTTACAAATCCCATATCAACCACAATAGGAATTTTAAGAAAGGGTAGACATAAAACTGCACTTTTAATTCGTACAAAACTCGGTATTTTATGCAATTACTGAAGTTACTCATTCAATTATTGAAGAATTAAGAACCATTCCTTACTTTACAAGTGACAAATAATAACATTACTAACATTATTTAGTAATTACTTACACCGAACACTGTATGATTAAAATGTAAACGTACGCATTGACTCGGGCAGCTATTTTCCCCCAAGCTAACTCTCTCTCTTTCGCCGCTGCAACCGTGTTGCTTCTCTTACGGAATATGGGCTCGTAGTCACTATATGCTTGTAGTAGCACATCCATTTCTGTCGGGGAAAAACGCAGACCTATTTTGGCTTGGTCCTGTTGCCATGGTGACTCGTAATTTCTTCACTCCATTGTTCAGGGCTTTTTATAGTCGCGTGGCACGCGCCTAACTCTGAGTCAGACAACTCAGAGTTGATTAAACCAACTCTTTTCAGCTGTTCTGAAACCGAAAACTCCGAGTTTTCCAACTCTGAGTAAGTCAACTCAGAGTTCAGGTTTGAACTCTGAGTTTGTTAAACCGCCTTCTTGAAATAGGCCCCAGGTGTGTTGGACACACGAGGAATTTGACTCGGGTACATCGGCTCTCAATGTGCAAACAGCAAACCAGCATAAGGCCGTGTAATATAACAAAAATAAAAATAAGCAGTATTTACAAGCAACAGAAAGTGCAAACAATGCAGAATAAGCAGTATGTACAGACGGTAACAATGCAGACAACAAAGGAATGTTCAGATAAGTAGGGATAAAGACTTGCAGCTTATGTTGACTGGTGACTCTAAATTACCAGTGGGAGTGAGTGTATGTGGTTGTTTGTTTACATTGTTTGTCTACCATTTGTCAACTGTGCATATGAAAAATAAACACTTTTGACCTTTGACCTTGACCATTGACGTGTCAGGTAAAACTGACAGCCAGAGTGTGCCGGTGATATTGGTAGTAGTCCTTCACTGCACAGGAGAACTGTGAGTGCATACAACAACATGAGGTATCAGTATTTTGGTACAGTGTTGCTTTAAACAAACTAAGTTGTAAGATGTCTTTTGGCTGTGTTTGAAGGCCAGGGTGTTTTAGATGGTCCCTCCGATTACAGCCTAGGGAGGGGTTTAGTTGATCTGACAGGCACTTTCTCTGAAGCATACCTTGACTCTGAACAACAGAGGGTCCAATCTGCAAAACTAAGTTGTAAAAAACAAAACAGCCCCCTCCCCAAATAATTATGTCTTATAAAGCCTACTGTAAAATCTACAAAGCCAGGAGTAGCAAAGGAACAATCAAAGGGTTACATATTCTTGATCATTCTCAGGGGTGTCGTGTGTTTTATCCATTTAAAATTCAGTCCTACAAAGTCTGAAAAAAGTGGACAAATTCCTTATGAAGCTGCTCTGTATCATGTTTAATGTTAAAAGCTGATCTAAAGCTGTGATGTAAAAATGCAGCAGAGAAAAGGCCACTTTCCTTACTTTGACTATCTTCTCTATCATTCCTCTGCATGCATCCATCTTTGCAAAAGATGCTAAACTGGCAAGAATGAAAGCAGCCCAGCCTGGGTCACACAGGCCCTCGTAGGTTGTAGTCAAGCGTTGCTTTACTTCAGCTGTTTAGGCTTGTTGTGTCTCTGTGTGTTTTTATGTGTCTGGAGGCTTTTTACTGAGGCTCTGTCACTCTGGGGAAATGGATTGATATTTATAGGTTGGCTGTGTGGGATTTAGAGCTGGAAAGCTGAGCCCTGTGTGTATAAGTGTGTACGTTTTCATATTTCTGTATGTCTTTCAGTTGGTGCATGTGTAGGCCTTTGCAAACACACATCCTCACACTGACATGGAGTGTGGGAAAAGGTTGCTTTCCCATTAACTACAAATACAGCATTGTTCAAAATAATAGCAGTACAATGTGACTAACCAGAATAATCCAGGTTTTTAATATATTTTTTATTGCTACATGGCAAACAAGTTACCAGTAGGTGCAGTAGATTCTCAGAAAGCAAACAAGACCCAGCATTCATGATATGCACGCTCTTAAGGCTGTGCAATTGGGCAATTAGTTGAAAGGGGTGTGTTCAAAAAAATAGCAGTGTCTGCCGTTGACTGTACAAACACAAAACTATGTTGTACAAACGTTTTTGTTTCTAGGATTTAGCAATCCTGTGAATCACTAAACTAATATTTAGTTGTATGACCACAGTTTGTTATAACTGCTTCACATCTGTGTGGCATGGAGTCAACCAACTTGTGGCACCTTTCAGCTGTTATTACACTCCATGATTCTTTAACAACATTCCACAATTCATTTACATTTCTTGGTTTTGCTTCAGAAACAGCATTTTTGATATCACCCCACAAGTTCTCGATTGGATTAAGGTCCGGGGATTGGGCTGGCCACTCCATAACATTAATTTTGTTGGTTTGGAACCAACACTTTGCTCGTTTACTAGTGTGTTTGGGGTCATTGTCTTGTTGAAACAACCATTTCAAGGGCATGTCCTCTTCAGCATAAGGCAACATGACCTCTTCAAGTATTTTGACATATGCAAACTGATCCATGATCCCGTAGTTGCACTGGCCTAGTTCTAGTTTAAGGATCGCCACGCTTCATACAGATGTCTTTAGAAAGTTTTATTTCCCTTTCTGCTCCTCAGACACCGTGAAAACTACAAAGAAAGTAACAATAAACCATCTTAAATATACAAATAGAGGCAAATGAACAACAAGCACAAATACAATATATATACATTTTACCGTTTGCGCCTCTAGAACCATGTGCAGATAACTTTGGGCTGTATGTCTCTTCTCTGTCCCATAATGCCACATTTGGCGCCCCTCACTCAACTCCAGTCACATGGTTGACACATACTGCCCTTCAAAATAAACCTCTTTACCAACAAAAGTAATACTCTCACCATTAACAATGAACATAAACCCACATCTCAAATGAAACCTGTCATTTGGACAGTTACACTTCAAGCCACAGTACACAGTGAAGACAGTGAAGCATGGTGGTGCAAGCATCATGATATGGGCATGTTTCTCCTACTATGGTGTTGGGCCTATTTATCGCATACCAGGGATCATGGATCAGTTTGCATATGTCAAAATACTTGAAGAGGTCATGTTGCCTTATGCTGAAGAGGACATGCCCTTGAAATGGTTGTTTCAACAAGACAATGACCCCAAACACACTAGTAAACGAGCAAAGTCTTGGTTCCAAACCAACAAAATTAATGTTATGGAGTGGCCAGCCCAATCCCCGGACCTTAATCCAATCGAGAACTTGTGGGGTGATATCAAAAATGCTGTTTCTGAAGCAAAACCAAGAAATGTAAATGAATTGTGGAATGTTGTTAAAGAATCATGGAGTGTAATAACAGCTGAAAGGTGCCACAAGTTGGTTGACTCCATGCCACACAGATGTGAAGCAGTTATAACAAACTGTGGTCATACAACTAAATATTAGTTTAGTGATTCACAGGATTGCTAAATCCTAGAAACAAAAACGTTTGTACAACATAGTTTTGTGTTTGTACAGTCAACGGCAGACACTGCTATTTTTTTGAACACACCCCTTTCAACTAATTGCCCAATTTCACAGCCTTAAGAGCGTGCATATCATGAATGCTGGGTCTTGTTTGCTTTCTGAGAATCTACTGCACCTACTGGTAACTTGTTTGCCATGTAGCAATAAAAAATATACTAAAAACCTGGATTATTCTGGTTAGTCACATTGTACTGCTATTATTTTGAACAATACTGTACAGTCATATAACATCAGATTTAATTCATTGGGGCAACAATTTGTTCCCAACATAAAGGGGGCAGTCCTTTGTTTTCTTGCAGAAAACACCATGGTCTCAGAAATGGAGCTCATTGGAGCGATACCAACACCCCGGAGCTGCCTCACCTAAATGGAATGTAGTCATTTTTTTTGTTATCAGTTTTGTTGTTTGCGTTTCCTGCTGTGGCATACCAGACTGTCTCCTGTGAAAGAGGCTTATAATGATAACACTCTCACCCCGGTTATCTAAGGATGAGTTGTGTCAGTGCCAAGGTTGTAGGACAATGGCTATCATAAATTATTCATAAAACTTACTTGATTATGTCCTCAAATCGTTAACAAGGATCAAAGCTAATATTTTTATGCACTGGCCCCATGGGCCACCAAGACCATAAATTTGGTGGATAAAGTACAGTTTGGTAGCCCAAATGTAAAAATAATGTAAAAAAGGCAATTTAACACAACTTAACACAGCCTTCCTTAACTGTGACACTTCAGTAAATTAAGAGAATGAAACATTAAGAGAATGAAAATGTGACTATTTAAACTGAAAGAGCAAGTTTTGTAAACATACATATATTCTGTCTCTTAAAGCATTTGCATATCCTCTGAAGTGATCTTTGACACCCCCGATTCATTCCCGTACCCCCCTCCCTCCATACCAGCATTGTCCCTGTGTTAGTTATGTGTACACCACAGTACATTATATTATTACATTTTATATTCTAGTTACTTAAACTCCTGCTTCCATTCACTCCAAAATTTTTGTTGGCATTTTTTCATAGTCCGAGTCTTATTTATGGTTCTTCTGTAGCGATTGTAGTAGAAGTGTGACTGGGATTAGTAAACCCATACCTCAGCAACCCTGACATAATGGCATTTTGCTGGTGACAAGTATCCTTGTTCGCTGTTTTCATAGAATGTTGAACTAAAAGCCTCAGTAGGGATCTGATCAAGCTTGGTGGGCACAGTGGGGAACCTGGGGATATATGGTTGCCACATAGTGACTTCTTGTGGCCATGTGCCATTGGGCCATGGTTAATACTGAGCCCTAATTAAGACTGCCATGGGCAGTCATAGTAATTGTGTTGTATTGCAAAATTTTTGGGAGGACTTGTCTGCTGAATTTTTTATGCCTCTGTTTTTGAGAGGCATGAACAATTTTTTGGCAAAGCATCTATCAGTGTGAAGAGGTTATCCTTCATGTTGTTTCAGGAGGAGGATGCCGTGACCCTGGGCCTATCAACTGGCCAGGCTCTGCTGAAGCTCCGGGATCAGCTCAGCAGCCTGCTGGAGCAGCACCAGAGGGCTGAACACAGACAAGCCTCTGCACAGGTATGCACACACATTTATGCATGCATATTTATATCAGTAGTCAATTTGGTACATGCACCCCCATACCTTAATCTGTGCCCAGACCTAAAAATAGTACGCTTAACCAAAATCCTACACCTAAATTTGGAAAAGTGAGGGTTGCCTAAATAATTGTTTGGTTTATGTCTGGTTGTTTTGCAATGCTTTCATAGGAACATTGGGTGAATTGCTTCCTTTACCATGGGAACCGTCACTCCTGTCTTCATTGGCCGGGGGCTGCTTTCACACTTCTGGTGGTGCTGGGACTCTTATGTTGCCATGGCAGCCAGCCAAAGGGCAGGTGGGTGGACATGTTTGAGAACAGAATTGAGAAATAGTATTTCATCTCCAGCTGCACAAACACAAGGTGCTGATCCTCTATCTGTGTGTCAAAGTAATCTTAAAGTCTGGATAAAGTGGAAATAGATATGTGTTACTCCATAGGAAATGTATTATTAACCACCCAGCCAAATTTGAATAATTAAAAATATCAGCAAGTACGAGTATATAAAATCAGCTTTGAAAATCATGAAAAAATAAGGAGTAGTCTCTGCTCTGAAATGCTGCAGGCGTGTTGGGTGACAACACTGAAACCACACCCAGTTGTGGGAATGTGCCGCCTGTTCTCATCAGAGGTGTTCCTAATATTCTGACCCTATCATGTATGTCAACGGGCAGGACAAAAATATACAGACACCGCTGAATATAATGTAGTCCAGTACAACAACATCTTTTAACTATGAACTCAATAATGAACATATAACAGAATTTATACATTTATAACAATCTCACCAAAAACAAACATTTTGAGCTTCATAAACACAAATGTTAAGGCAGAAGTGTTGCACTGAAGTGCATACAGATGTACAGGTGGTTATGAGCTTGAGGGTCCTGTGCAGTATCTTAGCTGTTCCTAGGACTCCTCTCAGAGATCTCAGATGTTGTTCCTAGGATCAGCTGCTCTCTCTCTTTAGAGCAGTTGTACATTGTTTTTGAAGGGTATAGTGGTTGGTATTATTGAAGCCTTACCTTGTTTGTTGGTGTTTCAGGACTGGCAGAGTTCGCCTCCCGAAAATAAAAAG